TTATATAATCTATTCATTATCTGTTGTATATAATCTATTCATTATCTGTTGTATATAATCTATAACTGTTAACTGATGTACCTGTGCCATCTGATATGTTATCAAATTTATTCCTATTCTCGCTATAAAAACAACTCATTTTCTGCTGTATTTAAACTTTATCAGTTATCTCATGTGCTTGTATCACTCGATATGTTATCAAATATGTTATTTTCTAGCTATACAAAAACTGTGAACGATGTGAGGGAAAAAGCACCAGTGAAATGAGACGGAAATATGGCACAAGTAAAAAGAGAGAGAAATGGCACAAATGAAATGGAAAGAGAAAATGTTACAATTAATTCTGTATGCTACTTGATTACACTAATTCGACAACATCTCCCCTCCTCGCCCTTATCTAAGTCAGCCAATGCCTAATATGCATGCATTAACGACTGTGGGAGAAGTGAAAAAGTTTAAATATGGTCCTGTCAGTTGAGGGGAGAACGATTTTGTGCTGTGCCTTGTCTTATCAGATTTCAGAAATATTTGTTGTTTGTTTCTTTTGAGTAATCAAGAAATTGAAAATTAAAATTTTATTCTTTTTTTTTCTAAATTAAACGTGTTGAATAAGAAATTTATTAGTCTAATGGATGCCAGTTATCAGTTATCTCCTGTTAATTCCCCTCTCCAAGTTCGCCACCGTCTTAACCAGGTGTTGAACTCACACTCTTTGGATCCTGTCACTGGATCGAACTAACGTCATTATCCACTGTGCCATGTGTCCTTGAGGGCATTTGTGAATGAATTTCTGGGTATTATAAACCTAATGTCTTTATCTACCATTTTTTCTACCAGTGCTCATATAGCAATTTTTCTGCTATCATAGAATGAAACACGAGGGGAAGCGAAAAAATCAGGCGTGGCTGACCACATATGGAGAGAAAAGTTAGTTCGCCGCCCTGTGGGATCATGTTGAGATCATAGACAAAGAACCTCATTGAAAAATTCGTCAACTTAAGGAATCAGCACATATGCTAGGACACAAATATCTCTTGAGCCTTCCAAGCATAGAAATGAATACAATATGGGAACCAGTAATAAGGAGTGCCAGAGAAAATCGATAATAACAACAAAAATTACAATATGAGCTCTGGTAAAAACATGGAATGATAACAGCAAAAATTACTATATGAGTATTGGTAAAAATAAGATTGCTGAAGACATTAGGTTTATAATACCCAGAAATTCATACTGTTACTGTTAAATTCATACACAAATATCCTCAAGGACACATGGCACAGTGGATAAATGTGTTAGTTAGATCCAGTGATAGGACCCAAAGAGTGTAAGTTCAATACCTGCTTAAGGCAGAAGAACTTGGAGAGGGGAATTAACAGGAGATAACTAATAACTAACATCCATTAGACATGGCAGGTGGAACTAGAGCAGTCTACCCCAGTGAGCGAAATAATTCAGTTCGACATTCCAACCAATGGCCGAAACGTTGTAACAAATATGGCGACAAAGATGAGGACAATAGCACGAATAATGTAGTGTACATAATACCTCATCTCAGAAATATAGAAAGATGCAAACAAGGAGTTAATCAATTTTAAATATCAGTAAGGTCTGTTCTCGTCCCTTTCCAGGGAAGAGAAGAAAAACTTGACCCCACTAACACCAAGTATTCTTCATTAGCTTTTACACAATGCCATCGTTTCTTTTTTTTTTTTTAATTTTATAGAAATAATAAATTTGACAACTCATATTAAGGGAAGCGGTAATTCGTAAGCAACAACCAGTCTTGATAAGATTAGTAAAATATGAAATTATTACACCATGTTTTGAGGATATATTAAAAGTAGGGGTGGTACGATAAAAAGTTATTTATTTTTAATCATTTCATCTCGAGTAAGGCAACAAACTCACTAAGGCACAAGGGATTACCGAGTGTGAGAGAAAGTAAAAAGAAAGAAACATTATTAAGGAGAGAGAACAATAAAAGAACAGAAATTGAGAAGACAGAAGATAACGATTGACAGTATATTTAGAGTTTTAAAGACCAAAGTTGACTGAGAAGCAAGAAGCCAGAAGCGAGAAGAAACTGTTAGCATAGAACTTCCGGCTATATCTAGACGTTTCAACGGTAAGACGATGAGACCTTGCCGCAGGCGATCACGGCTCTCCACAATTTTCTGTCCTTTGTTGTCCTTGATAAATTTTATCTTTTTTTTCCCTCCTAAACCTTGTTCCGCCAACCATTTATTCAGTCTGTTCTGTATTGTTTACCTCTGTCCCTCTTGCCTTCAATCTATCCTGTGAGTATCAGAGCTCTTTTCTCATGTCCTAGAAATTTCAACTGTCAAGTATAAGTTTCATTTTTGTTTCCATTTTCTCTAAAACTTCGTTCTTAATCACATATTCGATCCGTAGTTTTCTCAGCATCCTTTTGCAGAACGACATTTCTCTTGCTTCAAATCTCTTCATCGTTGAGGAGTTTTTACAGCCATCACTGTCATATGGGAGGACAGATATCACGTAACAGTTTAGTATCCTTTTCTTTGTTTAAATTCATAAAGTCTAGATCTCAAAGAGGAAAGCTCATCAAAACAATGTCCGTGAAAATATTTATTGAAAAGATACAGGAAAGCCATGCTACTATGGTGGAAATGTAAACTGTTTTTTCCTAAAGTAAGATGGGAGAAATTACCGTAATTTCTCGAAAATAATACGCATTTTTTTTTACTGTAAGTTACAAGTGATAGTAGGGGTGCGTATTATAAATAGGTTTAAACAAAAATATTTTTTTCGTTATTGATTTATAATAATAAATACGTACTTATTCGAAAATAAGAAAGATATTATTCCAGTTTTCATTTTAAATCTAACAATAATAATTGTAGCATTTTTTTCCAATAAATTTGTTTATTAGTAAAAAACTATTTATTTGGCGAAAAAATAAAAAAAAATCTATAAAAAGGCCAATTTCAAAGAAAAGAGGATATCAAGTTAACAATTTATTAAAATTTTAATTTTCATCATCATCCTCATCATCATCATCATCATTACCACTTTCTATTATAGAATCAATATCTAAATTGTCATTAAACAAATTATCATTCACAATATTATCTTCGTCCTGTTCAAAATTATCTTCAGCCTCTTCATTCTTTTGCCAAAGGATATCATCTTCAGAGCCATCCATGGCTGCCTTGAACACTTCTTGAAATCTCTCATTATAAAATCCTCATTGATGGAATCCCAAGATTCCTGAATCCATTTTAAAATAAGTTCTAACTCTAGTTTTTTTCCTGTTGCCAACAGCAGTAAAAAAAGTAACGCCAGAAAACGTCCAGTCATTCCATTTTTTACGCGTCACTTGTTTAAATGGACGGTTGCAGAAAATTTCATGTTAATTTTCAACATTATTTTAACCACTTAGTTTTGATTTTATTCTTAATGTCAAGGTCTCCAAAATGTCATCATAATTATTTTTTTGACGAAATTTATAGATGCGTATTATACACAGGGACATATATATTTCTTAATTTTTGGATCATTTGTTGGGGTGTGTATTATTTATAGGTGCGTATTATTTTCGAGAAGTTACACGTTTTTGTGAGGTGTGCATTCCTTATATGTGATGGCGGCTAAAGAAAATACACAACAGATAATGAGTTTTATTTATAGCGAGCATAGGAATAAATTTGTTAACATATAGGGTGGTACGAGTATCTGAGATGACGGATAAAGACAATACACAACAGGTAATGAGTTGTTGTTTTTTTATAGCGAGAAAATAACGTAGTTGTTAACATATCGAGGGACAAAGGTACATGAAGCTAAAGACAAAGATGAAATAACAGCAGATAGGAAACACTTTTGGACTCTATCGAAACTGGAAAGTGGGGAGTGGTCTGATCGTGCCCAACAGTACTCCATTTAAACCTGATCTAGCTCTTGTACAGGTAAAGGATAGCGCGAGGAGGCAGGTACTTGCGGGAGCGGTAAAGAGAACCGACCATTTTTCCTGCATCTTTAGCGATGACTCTTGTGTGCGATTTTCACTTGAGGTCTGGGTTGAGTTCGAGGCTCAAAAGTCGCTTAAGGCACGAATGGTAACATCTATCCATCGTAAAATAGTTAGAGAATCCCGGTAAACGCACCATAGCATATAAATTATTGATATTTTTTAGACTAAGGTCCACCCAATGCACGGCTCGTGAGCCACACAAGGTAGAGGAATACTGAGGTTTGGTATATGAATGTAAGAGGAGTTAATAGTAAAGGAAGATTATGAAAACAAGGAGAATAGATAACGACTGACCCCTGACTTGCAGAGGTTAAAATTGTAATATTTGGGGAAGAATCTACACAGGAGCCTGTTCCGTAAAGTTGAAGTTCTTGGGAAAATTGTTGTCTGGGTGAAACTTCCTCTTACAATTGGAATACGGAGGAAACGAGGGTGATTCGACTCCGTGTATGTGGGATGGCGTGTGCTAGCTGTAAAGGTTTGAAATGGTGAAACTAATGAATGAAGCTCATCTGACCATTTGCCAAGGAAGTTGCGAGATAGTGACGATATCCTTGTAAAGATGCGGCCAAGGAAAAGGCACTACCGACTGGAGAATATATCTTCCCTAAAATGACAGCGTAAACGCTTTTAAAATCTGTTAAGGCGGGAAAGTGAGTGTTTTAGCAACTCCAGTCCAGATATCCCATCAAATACCCGATTTTCTGTCTAGTCTGACGTTTTTAATGATTGATTTGCTTTTTACGGTTTATCAACCTTTTTAAGGTTATTTAAAGCCGAAGCATATGTTTGGTGTGTAAAATTTATTTGAAGATAATAAAGATTTTCTGATAGAAGTCTTACTATTTAACCCATAGCTTGGAGTTAGATTTCCCAAGGGCACTTGCACGTTAGCAAATATAACGAACCCGACTGGAATTCGAAATCGTCTCTTCGATTTCTCATTTCGATCCTTAATCCATTAAGCCACCTGCAACATCCAAGTTTACAGCACCCGCTATTCCCGATGATCACCCATCTAAGTACTGACCAAGTTCAACGCTGCTTAACTTCGGTGATCGGACAAGAACCAGTTGTTTCAAAGTGATATGGCTGTAAGCAATAATCTTTAAAGATAATGCCTGTGTATTTGTTAAGGATAAACTATTGATATATTTGGTAAATTCATTCTTTTCTTATAATTTCTAACAGAAAATAAGGGCCTTATTTCTTCTTTGATCCTTGCAGAGTTTAGTGCTTATGACTAATTACTCGATCGACTTTTTCTGTTTCACTGCATCGTCAAGTGGATTAGCACGAATAATGGCCATTCATCTAAGATTACAACGGGCGGCGTTAAATAGGAAATATACACGTTATGCTGATCGACCAGAAAAAGCCATAACAATCCGTAAAGCAATTAATAACAGAAAATTGGCAGTTATATTTTATGTCAAAATGTCAATCTCATTAATGAGATCACTAGCCTAATAACCAATCATTGATCAGAACGCTGCTCGAGCTGCTCCTGCTTGGTTGGTCTTTCTCATAAAGAAATCACAATGCGGCCAGGTATAACTGACGCTACCAGCCTCTAAGGATAGCTAAAAATAACATTTTTCTAAAAATCGTTTCACCCTAAGCAAGGCGATAATGCCGCTAGGACGCAGGGGGTTGCAGGGTGTCATATAGGAAGAAAATGAGTAACTACTGACATCGATGTTCGAGCGTGACACTTATGAATTTATGTTTGCCGCTAGGTGTATAAATAGCGATGTCAGACTACTGACTGCAGTGATTATTGTGTGATTATTGAGTGACTATTGAGTGGAACTCTCCAGTCGAATTAGTGTGAATTATTGTGCGTCGATGACTCGTTAAGCCTACCGCGCAACTAAAAGGGTATTTACTGAAATGGTTATTTATCTTTGGTCGAAGATTACTTCTTTGTCCTTGTTAAGTATTTATTTGCGGCTGTAATTAAATACTGTTTTATCTTAACATTGAAGTCTTGAATTATAATTAACTATTAATGGCCATAGTACGTCACAAAAAAGGGAATGAAAGTGAAAAAGATTGAAAATGGAGGATCGAGGAACGGAAAAATAAGATCAGAGTTGAAGAAGACAGAAGATGGCGATTGACGTTGTATTTAATTTATTGAAGATTATAGTTCTCAGGGAAGCAAGAAATCAGAAGGGAAAAAAATGAAAAGAAACTGTTAGAGAAGTTGCCAATCTAGTAGCACGCTTAAATTCATGTAGTCGGGTCACCAGGGGAAAGAGCTCATCCGTGCTGTTTCCATGAAAATGTAGAAAAGACAGAGGGGAGCCACGTCACGTCGGTGAGAAAATGACTGAAGTCTAGGTGCCTGAAAGCAAACTTAAAAGTAACAATCAAATTAAAGGTGACAATTAAATTAACCTCCACAAACAAGGACCTGTTTTATATTTTAAGTTTAACTTAGATTGGTTTTGGTGCAAAGCTACGAATAGTGGGCATCCAGTGAGGATCGAATGGTCAACCAAACTAGACTTTCTAAACATTAACACAAGCCGTATCCCTTCAGGTAACGTGCTATCGTAGCTCTCTATACCTTTCTATTTGCGAAGCTCTAAGAAATATTTGTCAACCTTACTATCCGTCTTCGATTTACAAAAGCTCGTTAGGTAGGTTACTCACAGTTTCCCTCTGCTTCTCTTGCCTTCAGTATATCCTGTGGGTGTCAAATTCTCCAAGCCCTCTTTCTTCATTATATGTCTCAGAAATTTCAACTCTTCTTTCCTCATTCTAAGTGTATGTATACTTTTGTTTCGATTTTTCTTAAAACTTACTCGTTGCATACATGACCCTCTATAGATTTTTTCACCATCTCTCTACGCAACGACATTTCTGTTCCCTCATGGCTCTGCTTCATCTGTAAGGAGATTGTTCAGTATTCACTGCCATAGAGAAAGACTGATATTAAATAACAGTTTAGTACTCTTTTTTTTTGTTACTAAGGAAAATTTCCTGTTTCTTATTACTTTCTTCAACTTTTAGAAGGCATCTTTCGCTATCATAATGCGACTTCGTATTTCGGTATCATATTTTCCGTCGTCTACTAGAAGACTTCCCAGAGAATTTAAATTCTCCAATTCGTAGTTCCATCTTGAACTGTTCCTCTTGACAACCATACATTCTTTCTGCTTACTGTTGCTGCTTATCTCTTTCTTCTCGCTTTACTAAATCATTGTAGCCAGTTGGAAAGATATATAAAAAAAAAGAAATTAATAGGCTCAATATTTGTTTTTGAATTAGTCGAAACTACGTAGGCGAATAATGGAGATTCTAGACTAGATTGTGTAATAAAGACACTAAGCTTATATAAGAAAATTTCATTTATATATACTGCATTTTCTTTCTTTTTGTTTGAGATATTAAGCACGACATGCGTAGCTGATAAAATGCGCATTATATTACTTGTGTTAACTTGAACGGTTGTCAACCTCCTGAACAAATGTTATGTTTGCTACACATATTGCTTGAAGAAATACAAAATAACTCAGGTGATAATAACATATTTTAGGCTTTTCACTCCTTATTTACTTGACAGGCGTTTACTAGTTATGACTGTACAGTCGTTCAATGCAATTTATATATATATATATATATATATATATATATATATATATATATATATATATATATATAAAGTGTGCACTGAAGTTAAAACCTAGATGCGACAGTCTGTTTCATGCTAAACGCAGTCAAAGGAAGTGTTTTTTGCTCGAAATTTTATATATAAAGGCCAGCGATGTATTCTATTGCATTGTGGGTAGCCTATTGCATTATTCTAACGGTTAATTTCGTGGTTTCTTAATTTGTTTATTATTTACTTAGTTTATTTACTTATTGTTTATTTATTTATTTTAATTTATTCTGGTTCAGTTTTAGTTTTCGATTTTTAGGCAACGTAGTAAAAAAATGTTTTCGCGTCTGCATTTTGAGATGAGTTCTGATCGTTTATTTAGTAGTTTGCTTTGCTCTGGGGAGGTAATTATAACTAATTTTTCCTACAGGTAGAGTTTACAGTTATGTATATATATATATATATATATATATATATATATATATATCTTCCTAATAATTTCTATCTATGTATATCCTTGCTTGAACCGGCTTTAAATGCTCTGGATGGAGCGGCTTGGTGATAAAAAAATGTTTTCGGGTCTGTATTTTGAGATGAATTCTGATCGTTTATTTAGTAGTTTGCTTTGCTCTGGGGAGGTAATTATAGCTAATTTTTCCTACAGTTAGAGTTTAAAGTTATATATATATATATATATATATATATATATATATATATATATATATATATATATCCTGATAATTTCTATCTATGTATATCCTTGCTTGAACCGGCTTTAAATGCTCTGGATGGAGCGGCTTAGTGATAGACAGTAGTCGTTGTTCGTGAGAGCACAGTCCTATGGGTAAGGAGAAACTCGGATGAGTTCCACCACAGAATATGTGATCGAGCGGCGCTATGTCGAGTCTAATTCGCTACCTCTCCATCACCGATGACTGTTTGTACAGCTGGTATGATGTTTGTCTGATAACGTAACTGTCCGGGTTTCAATTCTTGGTAGTGGATGCGCACTGCTGATCAGTTCCAAATATAGGACGGAACCGCTGTCCAGTGCTTTCTGCATTCTGTTGAGGTTTCTTCTAGACTCGATGAATTACTTAATTATAATTATCACAAATCCTCATAATAATTTCTATCACTCATATATATGAGTGATAGAAATTTTATATATATATATAAATGTTTATACAAGGTGTGCATGTGTTTTCTTTGTAAAAGACTTGACATCTGAATAAAATATAATATTTGGTACTTATCTTAAATTTCACGACCCTGAATATGTACATCTTCCTAGTCTGACTGCCAGGAACAAAAGAGGATGTTTGACTTTTGCGCCTGACGATCTCTCAGGCAGTTCACGTGACTATCTATATATCTATTTTTAGCTTTTTAAGTTAGTCAAAGGGAGATAACTTTTTGTATCTCGCAACAGTAGTATCACACATTGTGTTTTGTTGCTAATAAAACATTATTCGATATATAATAGAGTTTAAATTTATATTAATGATAAATATATATTTTTTTCTCACCAGAAGCACAATTGTCAGCATCTGAGGATTTTCTCGTGTATGAAATTCAGAGTTCATTTCGAAAGTTATATAACTGCACAGTTTCGTAAATGAATCAATTTCTAATGAAATAATGGATTTTTTTTATTTCATAAACGGGGCGTATATTCAGATATCGGTATCTACTAAAATAATGTTCGAAGTGATAAAAATAGGGCGTATTAATAAATAGAAAATTCATTATTTCTTTAGATAATGTTTTCGGATACGAAAGTAAGTAGTTTTGAAATGTCGAGAGTCTAAACGAGAAGGATGGGCTTAGAAGCAGGTATATAATATAAAATAGGAACGAAGGTTAAAATCTTGCCGCATTTTTCTTTAATAAAATTTCTCAAACATTCAGTCGATGAAAATAATATATATTTAAAAAAAAAAACAGAGTCTACTCAAATATTGGTATCCACGAAAATAACATTTAATGCGATAGAAACAGCGGAATAATGAATAAAAAAATCCATTATTGCTTTGGAAAAATACCTGCATTCCATTAAGCTAGATTAATGTGCTAGATATCGTATCTTTCTAGGATCCTTGCACTTTTGAAGTATTTACAGACCTGTATTCCAAAGCTAATTTCATGTAAGTCATGTTATACTTAACATATAATGTCTTTCATTGATCCCCACGTTTTATACGTATGGTATCTTTTCATAATCCTTACACTTTTGAAATGTTTACAGACCTGTACTCCAAATCTAATTTCAAAAAGCCTATGTAATTCTATACATATCATATCTTGCTCTTGTGAAATGTTTATAGACATTTAATCTAAACTAATTTATTCAATGATCCTTACACTTTTGAAATGTTTATAGACTTATATTGCAAAGGTAATTCCATGAAGATTGTTTAATTCTAAATATATGGTATCTTTTCTTGATCCTTAGACTTTGGAAATGTCTACAGATCAGTATTCCAAA